CCATCCCGACTGTTTCTCGCCACGTGCACCTATAGGGCGACGACCAGCCCTAGATACTCCGGTAAGCACTGTGTCATCACCAGTTAGCTCGCGCGGGCGCGGGCCGGCGCATATACTCCTGCTACATGGACAATCACACCGGCATCATCGCGCACATACTCCTGCTCTACTGTGTAGTGACCCGGGTTGCTCACTCACGTTACAGGGATATCTATTCATCGACGCCTACGGCAGCCACAATCTCGCGCACATACTCCTGCTCTGGTCTACACTGCCTCTGCCCATCCCGATCCATTTCTCGCCACGCGCACCTATAGGATCACGACCAGCCCTATATACTCCGGTAAGGACTGTGTCATCACCAGGATGGTTGGCTCGCGTGGGCGCGGGCGCTGGCACCTGGCACATATACTCCTGCTACACGGACAACTACACCGGCATTATCGCGCACATACTCCTGCTTTGTCTACACAGCCTCTGCCCATCCCGATCCGTTTCTCGCCACGCGCACCTATAGGACCACGACCAGCCCTATATACTCCGGTAAGGACTGCGTCATCACCGATATTGTCGGCTTGCGCGGGAGCGGGCACCTCACGCATATACTCCTGCTACACGCACGCCGTTGCACCATTTCCTTGCGTGCTTGACTGCTTGATGTAAATATCCCATTTGTGGCTACACTGCCGCAACGCGCTGAGGCTTTAGCAGCGTGCGACACATACTCCAGCGTGTGCTGCGCAATCCCTGGGTTGTGCACGCCCTCGCGTGCACCCATCGCATCCCACCTGACCGCGTCGCCACGCGCCGAACCTCTCCGAGTGTATGGTCATTTGCGTTTGTTCCTCCGTGCGTGGTGCTCGTTGTATACGTGTCGTCTCTGTGAACTCGCAAGAAGAACTGTTAGGTGATGTGCTTGCTACGTTGACGTTTTCTTGCTGTGATCGTACTTTCTCAAATCGTGCTTTCACTGACTTTATCAATCTCAAGCATAATCGTTGACGTCTGCGTGAGAATGCATTCCTATGACACGCGGCGCTCGTACTAAGTCCGACCTCATACTCGCACGCACTACTCTCCAATCGGGCAACTCATCTCGCACATTCACACTCCGCTATCACCCTTGCCGTTTCTCTTATTACTGGCGAACACTTAGCACATACTACAACGAGGGTAAGAAAATGAGTTCCGACCTTGGGACGCGGCTTGGCCGCTCCTCGAACGCCAGACGAGGGTCGAATTTTCTTCGCCATTGAGTGATTTGATCTATAACATATCAAGCTCAAGCTCACAAAAGAATTGAAACGGACGTACCGCTGGGTATGAAATCGATTCAGGTACTTGCAAGCCGATCGGCAATGGAGCAGACGGCGAGGAAGCCGATCAAGCGGAGTCAGGGATATCACATTGCCGATCACGTGACTTTTCCGCTTCGAGAGCCTAGGACGATACCTCACCACGGCAGAACTGTCTTTGTGGATGCCAGTTCCTAGCTCGCGTATGTCGGACGTATGTGGGACTGTCCTCACCTCGCGCAACACTACCTCCACTATGACAGATATTTTAATTGCTCTGGAGAGAACGCTCCCGTCCTCATACGGTTCAACCTCGTCGCGCAAGACTCCGACACGGCGTCCACCACTTGCCCGGGACGATTCGAAAAATACAAATATGTACGTGGGCTCACGCGTGACAGTGCTGACGGTGCCCGTGTTGCAGCCTTTGGATTGTCCACCAACTCTGCAAAAGCCGACGCAATCGCCTCCCGCACCCCTCACCGTATGGTTGAACTCCAGTCGGTCTCGCACAAGACATATAGGCCGTGCCACGACTTGTAACGGAAGATATAGGTCTGTACGCGCGTTTGTGGCAGATGTAGGCAAGGCACTCATTCGGTTAATCTCGTCGCGCCAGACTCCGATACGGCGACCACACTTGCCCGGGACGATTCAAATGTACAAATATGTATGTGGGCCTGCGCGTGACAGATGGAAGAAGTGCTGACGGCATCCGTGTTGCAGCCCTTGGATTGTCAACCAGCTCCGCACAAGCCGACGCAATCGCCTCCCGCACCCCTTACCGTACGGTTGAACTCCAGTCGGTTTCGCACAAAACATACGGGTCGTGTCATCACCTGAAGAAGATATAGGTCCGTACCCGCGTTTGTGGCAGACGTAGGCAAGGCGCTTATGGCATCAGTGTTGCAGCCTTCAATCAGCTGCAATCTTTGCACGGATGGGAACACGCAATGGTCTTCCATGGCCGTGTCTGTTACTGTCTGTTACTTGTGTGTTGTGACGTAGAGACGTTGCGCCGTCCCGTCGCCGCCCCCCCCTCTCTCTCTCATTGTGCACCCCTAGGTGGGGGGTGCGCACGCTGTGTCGAATCCCTCATTGTGGTATCAAAACGATTGTATTTATGCGAGAGGAAGAAAATCGTATGAACTTGCGCATGCTTTGTGTACAAATATCGTAGGAGGGTGTGCATCCTGAGTGTTTGTAGTATTTCACCTAATACCGGAGACCGTTATTATGAAGTTTGCGACGTGAGGAGTCTACGAAAATATGGCTGAAGCCTCGAAGCTAGTTACAGGTAGGATGGTGGATTCATTATTTACGGCAATCCCTCCTGCTCTGGAATCTCTCTTGCAAGAGCTTCGAAATCCTCGATAGTTTCCACAGATGCGGTGGATGGGGTGACAGCCTCAGAGTCCACGATATGATCGTCGTAGAGTTTGGTGAGGTCCAATATGACGCGAGGTTGGCGGAGATTCGCGTGAGCGGAGAGAAAAAAACGAAGGTATAGTCGAAGTGGCCAGAGGTCTACGTAGTGCCAAAGGTAGTTCCAACCTTTGTGGTTGGCTACCTGGAAACATTGTTATATTTTCGGGTGCTGACAACATATCTGTGCATAAACGTACATCACCGACCACCATTCCGGTAGCGAATGTCGGCTGATCTTGATAGACGCGGCCTATGGCCAGCCGTGCAGACGCTAAATCGCGGATGCGTCTCTACATGTTCCAGGATGTATCCGTCAAACGGTATCCCGCACACCAGTAGCAGAAACTCGCCTTAATTTGGGGCCAGTCCTTTTCCAATTTCGGCTCCATTGGCGACATCATTTCTTTCAGCGCAAGCTTACGCCCATCAGGGCCGCGGCGTCTAGGCTTTTCGATGCAGTGGAAAGGTGCGTTATCCATATGAACGGTGTAGAAAGGGTGGAAAGGACTAAGTACACCTTCATGGTACATATGTGGGAGCTAAGGGGGCATGGAGCGCTCGTTTCACGCAACGCGCTCGAACGAATTGCGAAATTTTCGCTCGAGTGTAATAGCAGAGAATTTCATGCGTTGATGCGGGCCCAATCAGGGGTGTCAACATCCGCATCGCTCTCATTGCTATCCTCTTCCTCCGTGTCAGACGCGTACTCATCGTCTTCGACGCTCTGCAGCGCCTGCAATTCTGGTTAAGATGTGTCGTCAGCAGCAGCGACACACCGGTACAAACGACTGACCCGTCATGGATGTATCTTCAGCAGATGCATTCTCCGTGCATATTGCAGCTTCTGTCGAAGCCACAGTTGCCGCGATTGATTGCGAGGTATTGACATGCGAAGACGTCGGAGAACGTCTGTCTAGAACCCTGTCAGGCTTTCGTTGACACGAAGGATTTCCGCCGCACATACCTGACGTTGTACCTGCCACTTTGAGTTATTTGAGTTGAATCTCCTTGGGATCGGATCAAAGGAAGGACACATACCAAACACGACCTGGACGGTGTCGAACTGTGATGTCCACTCGCCTCCGAGATCCTTAATCTTGAGCAAAGGTAACCATCTGGACGCGAAGACTGAACCAAGCCTGGTGAGTATGCGCGATTGACGCCGAGCGTAAGCGTTCAGCCCGCGCATGAGGCGAAGATTCTCTTCGATCCGTTGGTCCTGTTGTTGATCCCACCAGGAAGCCTTCGCGCGGAGATACGTCAGTACGCGCCTCATTTCCTCTACAAGCAGTACAACTTCTTCGGCGCATCTTCGCGATCGTGCCCGCTGCCTCGCCCATTCACTGCGCATGTGCTCATCGGCATCCCTCTCATCATTCTCCGCGCTTCCGCTGGAGGCATCAGGCGCAGTCCATATCCACGAAGGTGTCCTTCTCCGTTCTGATTCGTCCAGCACGTCATCACGGTAAGGACCGCGGATATCGTCATCGGATAGACGGCGATAGAACATCGACCAGTCGCCGGATGGATCCAAGATCTTGACGGCCGCATATGCGGAGCGGTACGTATTGACGGATTGTTGCAGCTTCTTCGATATACCATCCCAGAGTGTTTTGGATCGAGTGCCTTCTTTCTGGCCTGAACATGTGTCAGTATGTATCTGAATACGAACGTCGAGCGCCCGTACCCCCCACAGAATGTTTGATCTTTTGGCGCACAGAAGATCTGACACATAGAAAGCGCCGGATGTTGATGAGTCCGTCCTTCATCCTGGCGGTGGCGTAATGCTTCTCCATGTCAATGACGCCTCCGATACAGCCGGCAATGCGCAGAGGAGCGGGAATGTCGGATGGCATCATAATCGGAAGATTTTCGGCTTTTATGCTAGATGCCTCGTCATCACCTGCAGGATGGGAAGAGCGACGTGTAATAGCTGCTGGCATGTAAGAGTTCTGTATGTTGTACCATTCCTGGATGCTCCGATGAAGCGCCGTGCGCCGCTCCTGCAATGACGACGTCGCAGTGTCTGTTGCATTCGACTTGAGCTGCTGGGCCTGATAGTCGACGGACCATCTGATACAATCGTTGTGATTAGCCTAGGTTATCCATGCTTCGCTGTGACGAGCGACGTGCAGGGGAACGCCCGTTGGGGTTACCAACTACTCAGACAGCCGAAATGTCCAAGTAATCGGGTAGAGTCGGATGGGAGAGCAGCGTCGTCGGCACTTACTTTAGGCAAGAGTACACGCAGAAAAGGAGGAGCTGAGCTCGACTCAAGGTCACTGGACACGAGGTCGACAGCGACGCAATAGGCACCTAATGGACTCAAGGTCACACACTAAGTCCCCAAGACACAAGTTAGCATAGTATCTAGTACAGAGACAGTTACTCACCTAAGTCCCCAAGACACAAGAGGTCGAGATGGGGACTTAGGGCGAGCTACAGGGGTCTTATATACACAAATCCATGGTCCAAGAATAGTACAAGAGAATCACATGCAGGGCACAAGGATGAGTAAGACCGACC